TAATGTACTAGTATAATTTTTGACACGTGTGGGTTTATTGATCAGCTGTGGCAAATGATAATGTTCCATAATTAACGATAATTTCTTAGCATAAAAACTCGTGGAATCTAATAATTTAGCGTTAAGATCAGAATGTATGATTCCAAATCTAGTTCGTTTATTTTTTCTCTGAAACATTGGATTTTGCAAAATATTTGAACAGGTGCACTAGGTGGTCTATACATTGTTGAGACGATAAAAGTAAAATGATGATTTTAAAAAACAAATAGACATCATTTTCTTACGTGTCTGTCCTCTCATTGACAATAAATTTCGTCATCACATTGTCAAAGCAATATGCGGATCCACACTACTTTGACAATGTGATGACGCAATCTATCGTCAATAAGAGGACAGACGCATAAAAAACTGATGTCTTTTTGCTAACTTCACAGCCTGTGCTCCGTCGGTGTGATTAAACGTGTTTTAATATCGAGTCGCCAAGGATAGCTATAACACGCTTCTCAGGCCGAGATTGAGATTCTTCATTAGATGAGCGACCATTGGGTTCCACTACTTTATTTTCGGTGTTTTTCTCGTTATTACCATTAACAATCATTCTATCTGTACTTGTTGTACTGTTGCTCTTTCTTGGCTTTTTAGGCTGACTTTTGTGTTTGGAAGCATAGTTAATAGAGGGGAATGGTTAGAAAACTCTATTATCATAGAAATTAGTAATGTTCACATTTGGTTCTGTGCCAATAAATTATCACTCAACATAGAAAAATCCAACTTTGTTCTTTTCCAAGCACCCCAAAGAAAAATCACACACCATTTCCATCTTACCATTAATAACAAATCTATTAAGCAAACAAATTGCATCAAATATTTAGGAATTTATGTTGACTCAAAATTTAAGTTGGAAACCACAAGTAGAGTATATTGCCAAAAAACAAACAAACGCAGTATTGGTCTTTTATCAAAACTTCGTTACTATGTGAATTGGAGGATTTTGAATAATTTCTATTATGCTTTAATTTACATGATATCAAACTACATTAAAACCATTATATTTATTACAAAAGGAAGTTGTGCGTATTATTACATTTTATTCATTTGTTGAGCATTCAAGCCCTATATTTAAACAATTAAATTTCATTAAAATCTTGTAATTTGATATTGTAATTTTCAAAATCTCAACTTTCATGTACAAATATAATAACAAGTTATTGCCCAGTACCTTTGAAGGATACAACACAAGAGCAGCAACAAAAAATCTTTTTATTTACCCAAGGCTAGAACTAATTATGGAATATTTAACATACGATTTCAAGGACCTAAAATCTGGAATTCTATTGATGAATCATTTAAGAAATTGTCTCTCTATCAATTTAAGAAAAAGCTGAAAAATGAATTAATTTCTAAATATTAAGATCAAGTTTTACTTTTACAAATTAACTTAAATATACTGTAAAGACTGATGATGCTCTTGTGTGCAGCGTGTGTATATTTTTCAATCATATTGATTTTTTTGCCTATGTGTTTATACGGTGTGCTATTGTGCTCATTATTATAATTGTAAATAGCAGAAATACCGACCCTAAATGTAATTACTTTTAATTAAGAATATGTAAACCAACTTCCAAGCATTTTTAGCTTTCTAGTCATTTTTGGAAGTTTGTACCCCTCAATCTGTTTTAACATAAAACAATGTATCAAATTAAAACAAAAAATGTAATAATGGGTACAAATTAAGTTCTTCAGTTATAGGTTATTGTTTACTTTTTTCAATCGTGACCGTGCACAATCCTTTGTTTTACCATTGTTTTACCATCGGTTGGCAATGGCTGAGTGAACAGATCAAAATATTTCTTTTGGCAGCTAGTTCAAAATACTTAAAGATTTTAAAAAGATATTTGAATGTTCCTTACAATAATCCCACATACAAAGTTTATGTTTATTTATTTTGCAATTTCGGATGAGCATAAATCAAACATATTGAACGGTCAAGACCGGTTTAACCTCAAAAGCGAACAAAGACCTGATAACAGTAGGTTTCCTAACCATTCCCCTCTACTAACTATGTTGGAAGTTAAACTGGTAGATGAACTTATGTCGCTATTATGCAAGGATGAATTGATGGTTAGTAATYGAGCAATATTTGGTCCGATTTTTGATATTTTGCTTCTTTAAAAAGTTATTAAATTTTAAAGTTGGAACGTCGAAGAATTTCAATGCCGGTTAATGTTTTACCGCATAAAAGACGAAATACTCAAAATATCAAAAATCGCTCACACCCTTTTGTAGATTATCTTTTGCTTATTCACATAGTGAGGTTCTTTTGGCTATACGCGCTTAACGCTATTTCCGTTAATTCACCTCTACGGAACGTGCTCGATTTGTGTTTGAAGCTCGGTATTGTTTCAAATTAGAAAATCATTTTGAATTAATATTATTTTCGAAATATGTATCATATGACCTTTAAAACGATATATAGTGTTAGAGGGTTTTGTTGAACTTGTTGTGTAGAGAGAGCTTTAGAGAAACATACCCCTGAAGGTCTCCAGTAACCTTAATTAATCTATTGTTCCATCATATGGCGTTTTAGCACATCAATGTGCAAGTACGACCAATGATTATATATTTGTTGTGTCGGCTCATTACCATTGATGTTGTAATGGTCATTTATTACACACATATAAAAGAAGTATTTTTAGAAAATGTAACAAGCAAGCATACGAACGCTCAAAATAAACAAAAGTGTGCATCACACTATTTTTCAACAGTTTGTGTTACTTGTCCATTTTACTCACAGGATTAACGTTGATTTACCGTAAATCCTCTAATTAGCCCCCCTTCTCAAATAAGCCCCCCTCTCTAATAAACCCCACTTTTTAAAGGAAGAAATTTGTTAAGGCCCCCCTCTCTTTTTAGCCCCCCTCCCCTCCCCCTTCACAATTAAAGAATCACGTGTACTGATTAAAGGTGTTACATATACCGTGTTTTAGTTTTGCTATTCACAATAATCGTAAATTATACTTGAGAGACTAACACAGGTGAATCAAATGATAAAAATGCTATGTACATCACTACTGATTATGCGAGACGGTCAATAGTAATGCTTCCGTTTAATCCTGAGTTACAATCATATTACATCCTGACAGCGTACAACTTACTGCGTTTCGACTAAATCAATAAGCCACCCCTCTCAATTAAGCCCCCTCTCTCCAATAAGCCCCCCCCCCCTCTTGCCTGAAATAAATAAGCCCTCCGGGGGACTAAATAGAGGAATTATCCTTTTATGACAGTGTACTGACTCACCAAGAGGTGATCTACAATTTTTCTGCCAAGTCCTTTGACGGTTTACTAATTCAGCCGGTCTTAGATTGACAGCGGTGATGAATAGTTTCCGATTAGTGCAGTTGTCTAAAATTCTTCCTCCACCTCATGACTTCAACAACTGAGTGCAGGAATTCTTCATTGCTCAGTGAATATTTTGTTATCTTCAGCTACCTTTCAAATAGTTCTTTAGTCGTTCCTTATTTTTCCTTTATATTTTTGTTAATTCACTAGATAGAAGTTTCTATAAATTAATTAATTAGTTAAAACTTTTTGTAATATGGATCTTTAGTATTAAGGAGGCTCTGGGTAGCTTTTATTTGACTGCCTTAAAACCCTTCAATGCATATGAAATTAAAGAAAAGTATTCGTAAGAGATACGTCTTTTAGTGACTTCATTTAGAAAAAAATCGTTTTCTATCGCTTTTGAAAACAAATTGGGTCATTTAGCTTCATATCAAAAAATCCATAACGTTAGAAAGAAAGTCACAATTTGATTCATACTCAATAAGGACAGTGTCTATATCCGTACCTATATTCTAGCTACTAAAAATATTGAATCCACTAAATTAAAGTCCCGATTTTGAGGGTATAAAGCTGACACGCTGGAAATAATAGTAAAAGTCCATGAAAATATTCATCGCGTAAATATTTGGAAAACGCTCTCATACATTTTTTTCATATTGCAATATGTTGGGTGCCTTGATGAATACTATCGACTGGTGCAAGTTGCTTTGAAAGTTTAGGTCTAGTTTTCGAGAAAATAGGCGGTAAACAATTTCTATGATGTCATCATTACGTCATAATGAAAAGACTGCACACGGAATGACTTGTGAGAGATACTTGTAATGTATTGATGGATTGTCCTTCACAGTGAAGCCTTTACGAATGATTGTTGTCACTCCTCCTCTGCGTCCATGTCTTAGGCTATGACGGATATCATAATCTTGAAGGGAGTTCAGGATGTCAGGATGTCAGCAATGGTCTAACTATCGTTCTTTGCAAGCCAGGTTTCCGTCATTGCCAGAATTCGAGGTGGTCGGATATTTTTAAATCACAGATCGAACCCGTTTTGTTATTTAGAGATTGTACATTCGTGACGGCCAGTTTAACCCGAGATCGAAGATAGGTTGTAAATGTTCTCAATAATGGATGTTGGACTAAATTATTCAAATTCTGGCCAGTTTTTGTTCTTTGGCGATAGGTGTCAGTTTCGGACGATAGAGTTTTGTGAAAGTTTGCGATATCATCAGTTCAAGCCACTTATGAAAGTTATGAAAGCGCGCGCGTACTGTCCTAACTATGTAATRAAATAATTTACTAGACGGCATTCGTGCAATCAAAACCTTGCGCGTAGTTATCCATTAAACAACTTTGGTACACCCCCATTTTTCTTTTTATATTTGGAATAAGCATTAACTTTCACTTTAAAAAATTGTAGTTTAAAAAAAAAGTTTAAAATGTTTTCCAAAAGTAGCCAGTCAACTTAAGAAAATTACAGTAGAATGAAGCTATACTGTGCACGCTCCTGCGCCATTATATATCGCGCACTTAAGCCGTGCCCCCTACCCAAAGATTATTTGCGGTTAGGGAAAAATCAAAAATCCTACCGAAGTTCTGAAATAGCAGGTTGCGATACGACGATTTTTGCTGTAAACAAATATCTTCTTTTTCTTTTCCAGTTTGTCTTCTTTTTTCAGCTGCCCTACATTCCCGAACTATGGATACGTTTGAATGATTTTGCGTATCTGAATGATGTCTTTAGAGGGCATGAGCTGGTAAGTATTCTCCGTTATAGCAAAGATTAACTTATTAAATTCTAGCTCGATCATTGCGGGCTTTTACCTAGTTGGAGCCAACCTCTGATGTGATTGTCCCAAAATGTGATAAGACAGCTAAAAGCTTAATATTTAGCAAATTGACATCAGTTTGTTCAAGGGAGCACGGCAGAATATGGCTTTTTGACGATGTGATAGAGGAATTTGAGTAAACGTCCGCCATCTTGTTTTTTCCCCTCTATTTTGCTTTTTGCTTTTTGCTTTGTCTTTCCGCTGACCGTTTATTACGTAGACGCAGGCGAGCCCCAAAGGGGCGAGTTGATGAATCCGAAGTGGCAGGGAGTGCAACCGTTGGAGGTGTGGCACTACTAAAGCCAGGAAGTGGCGGGGAGTGCAACCGTTGGAGGTGTGGCACTACTAAACCAATGAAAAAGAAGAATTGGGAGGTGTGTCTTCTCATGATGCTCGTATCACTCTCCATGGCAACCAAAACGTCATTTGAGCTGAACATATTTGACGTCCATATGAAATCTTCTTTTGATACAATGACATTTCAGGGAATTTTTCACATATAAAGACTGCAATTTATATCATTATTCAGATCTCAATAACTAGAATGTGATACACAGAAACCAATATTTGAAGGTTAAATTTTCTTTATCTGCGTCCGAGTAAAGCCAATGTTTACATAAACAGGTATTGATATTGTTAAGGAATGTACCGGTATTCGAAACTATTTTAACTTAAGCTAAAGTCCGTTTTTGAACTTCATACCAGCTGAATGAAATTTCATCTGATTTTTTAAAGTTGTRGTAAAGTAAAAGTAAAGGATACTGAAGCTTACCAGAAATCCTCCTTTTCTTTCTTTCACAACCAGGAACTGTTTTCTGAAGCAAGCGACCGAAAGTCGCTCGGTTTATAAACAGTTGTTGCTCAAGTTTGCATTCTTCAACAAATTCATGGAATATGCTATCAACAGTCTCGACATTGTCAGGTATAAACAGAAATCTTTCTTGAATTCTGTAGATACGAAATAATTTTTAGTATAAAACATTATTCGATCAAAAGAGCACATCCAAATTTTATCGACCGTCAATTTATTGACATTCAAATTGGATAAATTTAAATACTTACACTCTGCTATGGTAAAGGCCGGTTTAGACGGTACGATTTTCGCCTACAACTATCGTATACAACACGCTCGCGCCATCCTACAACTCGAGTCGTAGCGTGTAAATCAAGCCTACAACTCTCCTACGACAGACGAGAGCGTGTTGTATACGATAGTTGTAGGCGAAAATCGTACCGTCTAAACCGGCCTTAATCAAGAGTAGCCGAGYGACTATCCTTTCTTCGAGCTTGTTGAATATTCATATGTTGGGTGATTTTCAAGTTTTTCGGACATTCTAGCTCATTTATTTACGCCATTCCTCAAAGTTCCTAGCAACGGTGCTGTTCCTAGCAATTTACTACGAGCTTCTAGCGATCATATTTCAACGGTCGCACTCCCCACCACTTCTCGCCCCTTTGGCTCGCTCATAAATTCATCGACTCGCCTGCGTAATAAACGGTCAGCGGAAACAAAGCAAAATGGCGAGAGAAAAAAAACAAGATGGCGGACGTTTAATCAAAATTCCTCTATAATATCGTTAAAAGCAACATTCTGCCGTGCTTCCTTGGTTTGTTATGTTACTGTCCTCTTATTGACGATAAATTGCGTCATCACATTGTCAAAGTAGTGTGATACTATGTGTGAATCCGCATACTACGTTGGCAATATGATGACGAAATGTATTGTCGATAAGAGGACAGACACATAAGAAACTTTTTGTTATTCATTGTTTTTTACMGTAACAAAACACTAAAAACGATAAAAACACCTTGTTTTATAATCAGTAGTATTTTAAAAACAACCAACGAAAAGAGCGCGCTCTCGTCAGCTTATCCAGGGCGGGAGGAGGGAGGCTCCCTCCTCCCGCCCTTGCTTATCTGTCTATCATCGCGCGAGAAATTTGTAAGTTATTGTAAAAATACGTTAATTTGATGATGATAACTGATTAATGAATAGAGCATGTTTTAGGATAATGAACACGAACAAAAGCGCTTGAAAGAAAGTTTCTTATCGAGTATCAATTAATGCAATACTAAAAACTAAAATGCAGCTACATACAGTGTAAATGTCATTATTGTATTCGTTGTGGGTCATTCATTATGATTTTGACCTGTCTTGGCTCGCTTTTGATGGTTTTCGCTCTTTTTTAGTCGTTTGGGATGATTATGGCTCTTTTTTTAACGGTACTGTATTCAGCTTGCTTACCCATAATATTTGTGATGGGCTTCAGTTGGTTGTCATAGTATATCGTCAAACATCCAATGAAATAAGACAATGATTTTAACAATGTTGACCACCAGGTAGCGGGATATGTTTGTGCCTACATTCCTTAGTGGAGGCAGCTTGATGAAAGAGCAGGCGCTTAGGGAGTAGGGAGTTTTTTAAAGCCTATTTTCGTAACAATTACGAAAGATACATGCAGTCAACACAAACAGGAAAAACATGCGCTTCCCTTGAGAGAATCACCCACTTTCGTGTTCAAAGAAATCTATGCTTTTTACTGCAATTTTCAAGCTTGAGCACGAGGCTGCGGCTAGATAAAAAAGAGCAGGCGCTCTTTGCAGGAAAATTGTATGGACTAGTAGAGAGAAAATGCTTCTCTAGAGACTCGCGTAAGTTTTCCAACCATTCTCGACTTGATAAATCATTAACGCTCGAAAAGAAAAATGGCCGAAACATCATTGCATTAAGAGCAATATGGGTGACAGATGGTATTATGTTAGTTATCATTAATTAATCATGATTTATTGATTTTTTTGTATATCTTGAGTAACTGATCAGTTATAAGTGTTTTCCGTTACTGATTAGGGCGTCAGGAGATCTGGTGCTATAACCGATGAAGATATTGAGGCATACAAGTATGCCTTTGGAAGAAAAGGAGCAGTGACCGCACCTCTGAACTACTTTCGAAATTTGCTAAACAGACCATCAGGATCCCATGTAATCTATAACCGCCGATTTAGAAAGCCAGTGCTTATTATATGGGTAAGGTTTAAATTTAAGTTTGGACAAAAGGATACTGAATGAAACCACTGAATGTTATACATGTTATCGTCATTCGATATACATACATACATACATACATACAT